GCAGAGCACGAATCACGAAACAAATATTGAGTCTTGTTTATTATATAAATATTATTGTTTATTGTGACTGACTGGAAATGGAACAACAACTGTACTTATATCGAAAGTCTTCGTCACTGAAGTCAAAGGGATTTACACGATGGCGATGTCTGTACGATCGCCGAGCGTCTCTAACATGTCCAAATCTTTTAAATCCATAACATCAATCGGTTCAATATCCATTTTACAATTATAATAATATAGAAGATACACGTAAATATTTCTGATAGCTAACCTCAAATAACTTTAGTACCGAAGTTAAACTGAGCAGCGCCGTGTCCTCAGAAATGAAGTAGGAAGCGATCTGTCGCTGCCGGCCGTAGTGCGGAAGATGGTGGACAGCGCAGAGTCGTGGGACGCGGTGGTGTCTTTCTGCGAGGATGTGATGTCGCAGAAGGAAACTGCGGAACGGGAGAGGGAGATCTTACTGACTTCCTTTCCCAACCGCAGAAGGCGCACCGGGCGTAGGAGAAGGGCCGACAACGCCCTCTTCCGGCCCCCATGAATGGGTCCAGGGGCGAAGGACTTGGGGAAGTCCCCGCCCCCGAATCGATAGACCCGAGTCGAAGGCGCGCGCGGGTGTCGGCGTACGCCTTTGAGGCGATGCACGTGGTGCACTGCTCCGTGCAGGTGACGGGGCCCTGATTTACGGGCCGGCACTGTAATGCGGGGCTGCGGATGAATTTGGACTCCCGCGGCCCCGCACGCACGTGCGATGAGACACTGGGGTGGTTTTAGCCGGTAAGAGTCCGGCACACCCCTCCGCCTTTCCCCAGGCGGAGGCAGTCCATGAGGATTTCCCCCCATAAAAAAAAAAAAGGGTCTCGGCGGTTTAACTTTAGTACCATAGATAGTTCCGAAACTAGTGATAAACTTTGTTTTATATTTAACGTTTTATTTAGTCATGGTTTAAACCTAGTATTAATCCTGGTACTAAAATTAGATCGGGTTTTGTATTAAGACGGTATAGGTCTGGCACCCGTTAACAACTATGAAACAACTCTTAAAAACCCTTACTTATTTGAATTTATTGTTTATGTACATACACCTACAGGCTACAACACAAAGGACAACACATCTTTATATATATAATATATGTATAATTCTTCTGTGAGTGTGTATGCCATTGAACTTCTCTCAAACTACTGGACCGATTTTTATGAAATTTTTTGTGTGTGTTCAAGGGGATCTGGGAATGGTTTAGAATGTGTACAAATCAGCTCGGCAGATGGCGCTGCAGTCGTGTTTAGGTTGTTTATCTTAAGCAACTGAACTAATTTGAATGAATTTTAGTTTATATATTCAAGTGGATATGCAGGTCAACGTCTGTTGGGTCCGCTAGTACTTATATAATAACAAGGTCCAATGTCAAGGTAACAAAGCACCTATGAGAACGGTTATGAAACGAGTACGCGTTCGGCGTTGTGATTGGCCGGTTCCAATGAACCAACCAATCAGAGTACCAAGCACGAATAACTATCGCAATCGTAACGTAATAGTATCGAGTGCGTTCGGCGCTCTGATTGGCCGGCTCGAGTGAACCAACCAATCAGAACGCTTACTTCGCTCGATACTGTTACGATACGAATGCGATAGTTATTCGTGCTTGGCCCTCTGAGCGCCGGACGCCGTCTCGTTACGATTACTTTAAACGTAATACAAATTCGTACTAAGGCCTTTGATATCAGATTTTGTTTGGGGTAGACATCGCGATCGGCTCATTACTCTGTATCTGTTTCCTTTCTCCTCTATCAGACGTCATTCTATCTCAAACTTCATAATATCATCTCACTACTTAAATCTGGATTATTTGTTTAATTGACTATTAGATATTATAGAAAACCATGAGGATTTTATAATCTATATATATAAAATTCAAAGGTGATTGACTGACTGCCTGACTGATTGACTGACTGACATAGTGATCTATCAACGCACAGCCCAAACCGCTGGACAGATTGGGCTAAAATTTGGCATACAGATAGATGTTATGACGTAAGCATCCGCTGTGAAAGGATTTTGATAATTTCCACCCCCAAGGGGGTAAAAAAGGGGATGAAAGTTTGTATGAGACTTTGTCAGTTTTAAACCGATCGGGTTGTAATTTGGCATGCAGATAGATGTTATGACGTAAGCATCCGATGTGAAAGGATTTTGATAATTTCCACCCCCAATGGGGGTAAAATAGGGGATGAAAGTTTGTATGAGACTTTGTCAGTTTTAAACCGATCGGGTTGTAATTTGGCATGCAGATAGATGTTATGACGTAAGCATCCGATATGAAAGGATTTTGATAATTTCCACCCCCAAGTGGGTAAAATAGGGGATGAAAGTTTATATGAGCCTTTGTCAGTTTTAAACCGATCGGGTTGTAATTTGGCATGCAGATAGATGTTACGACGTAGGCGTCCGCTATGAAAGGATTTTGATAATTTCCACCCCCAAGTGGGTAAAATAGGGGATGAAAGTTTATATGAGCCTTTGTCAGTTTTAAACCGATCGGGTTGTAATTTGGCATGCAGATAGATGTTACGACGTAGGCGTCCGCTGTGAAAGGATTTTGATAATTTCCACCCCCAAGTGGGTAAAATAGGGGATGAAAGTTTATATGAGCCTTTGTCAGTTTTAAACCGATCAGGTTGAAATTTGGCATGCAGATAGATGTTATGACGTAAGCATCCGCTTTGAAAGGATTTTGATAATTTCCACCAAGGGGGTAAAATAGGGGATGAACGTTTGTGTGAGGCTTTGTCAGTTTTACACCGATCGGGTTGAAATTCGGCGTGCAGATGGATATTATGACGTAAACGTCCCTTTAGAAAGGTTTTTGAACATTCTCACCCCAAAGTATGATACTTTGCCAGTTTTAAATTGATCGGGCTGAGACTTTGCATGCATAAAGTTACTATGACATAGGTATCTCTTTAGAAAGGATTTTGATAAATTCCACCCCTAAGGGGATAAAATAGGGAATGAGAGTTTGTATAAATCTTCTTAGCCGTTGAATTTAGAATCATTGAATCTTTTTGAATTACATTCGGTAAAACAATGATTTAGGACCTGGGTAACGTATGATAGTTTTTTCACAGATGTCTCACGAGAACGGGAACTATGCGTCAATGCCCCAGGACTCTCTAACTCAACCACTGAACTTATTCTAGAGAGATTCGGTACAACAATAGTCGATAGAATAGTTTTTATTACTCAAACCTTACGTGATCGGGCACTGTACTGGTAAGATCCCTGCGGGATTATTTATTTATTGAAACTACGATAAATCATTTCTAAATAGGTAAGTCTTACTTGGGCACTGAATTGATTCTGGTTAATTCTGTCAGAAGTCATTAATCTACGCGGACGAAGTCGCGGGCAACAGCTAGTCCTCAATAAACCTCATACCAAGTTTATTAAGATAATAATTGTTTGTCGTTTTTTATTATTTAAACATATCAGACACGTTAGGAGACCTTGACCTGACCTTGTTAATTTAATTATGAGTACCGGTTTCTTCGTTTGTTCATTTGTTCAACGTTACCAAGCCTAATACTTACAAAGATAAAGTGAATGTGACCTCATTTAAATGTTGTTTTATAAAATAAATATTTATAATATCACCACGCCTTCCCTTTTCTCCATCTGCAACTGCAAAAGTGCAGAAACAACAAAACTACAAGTGGTACCTGGCAGTCCAGGTATAGTCTTTTCCATAAAGTCAAAGCATTTATTTCATAACATAATGACATAACATCACGCCTTTTGTCCCCGAAGGGGTAGGCATAGGTGTACATTACGGCAATTAAACTGTCAAACACCAAGCGGTCACCGGTGACCGCAACCTATTGTTCTATAATTGTGTCTACAAAACCGGTACTCGACGAGTGCCACTGTACAATGTAACACCCACTTTTCACTATTTATGTTATGAGTCCCATGTAGTAGGGGGTGAGCCTATTGCTATATACCGGGCACAATTCCAGATTCCGTGCTACCACTGAGATTTTTTGAAAAAGCCCAGTAGGTAATACTTTGCCCGACCCGGGAATCGAAAACGAGACGTGAGTTACTCGGCAATCGCAATTGCGACCACTCGGCCAACGAGGCAGCATTTATTTCAAATAGTCGTTAATTAGGTATTTTTGAAACATCAAATTGAATTATCAGTGAAGCTAGATGCTCGTTCTAAAGTGAATCGAATGGAGAAGAACGAGCAAGAAACTACATCGTTACTCTTAAAAAAAATGTTTTTGTTTTATAATCTCCCGAATACGTTGTACGATTTTTACCTATTATACCTACATAACATATGTGAGAACAAGAAACATAATAATTTTTCTTTTTATTTTGATCATCACTAATTTTAGTCAATGTGCCTCAGCCCGCTTCGATTCAACAAAAAAGTACAGAATTATTTGTCCATAATATTTAATGGTGACCTTCAAAAATACGTAAATAAATTCAATAAAATAATTAATTTATTTAAAAACTGGCCTCGTCGCTCGAAGGAAGTAAAACTGGAAGTGATGATTTTGATTTACATTAATGCAATGCGGAAATAATATATTGAATGCGATATTTTCAAATTTTAGGTAATTCTTTAACGAGACAACCAGATGAATCTTTTTTATACCTTATTACCAATAGCCATGACGTAATTAAATCTCTGTCGATCCTTCCTCGGATATGAAACAGGTGTGATAATTATACGAAGTGAACATTTTGTAGTTTCAAATCTACAAAGAAAAACAGAGATGTACCCAAAATACTACCCTGTGGAACGCCAAATCATTTTATCATACTGACGACACCGACGGCACGTAAAAGTTGACATCGTTAATGTGGTCTAATCGTTATAGATATAGGGGTTAATGATCTTTATTACAACATTATTAATATGTACGTAGATAACAATTAAATAAAACATATCGTTGAAAGTAATCCGGTAACTCTAACTGTAACCTAATGATACTAGTGTACCCAAGTTTGTACTTTGTAATTATGTTCTTAGACGTATACTCAATAATGTTGGCGACCCTGACTGTGATTGTAACTTGATCATGCGATAACAAACAACTTATTTAATCAACAGTAATGTGTACGTCCAAGAATGACTAACGTAGAAAATGCAATGTAAGGTGCACGTAAAATATTCTTATACCTGTTTTGAATTATTAAAAAAATGAAAGGCCAGTGTTGACCGAAACTTTGTAACGCGTGCACGCATACTTCGCATAGGTACTAAGCGATACGAGACTCAGTTTTAAGTTGAGCGACCACTATTGTTTTAAATAACGTAGTTCGTGAAAGACATTTAACAAGTGAACGTTGGAAAACAGAAAAATAAACTTAATAAATGAACATGGCGGACAAAAGTTTGGATATAATAGTGATGGGTGCTACGGGGTTTACAGGAAAATGTACCGTGCAACACCTTGCAAGACTTACAAAAGAAAAGTATTGGGATGTAACTTGGGGAATCTCGGGGCGTTCTAAGGATAAAATGCAGAGTTTAGTCACGGAACTCAATAAATTGGGTAAGTTTTGTTAAGGATTTCGTAAAATATACATAAATCTCAGGATGATGAATTCTCTTTATGAGTTTTGCCGATTCGCTTACCAACTTATATGGAAAGAGGAAAAACAACAATACGTAGCAATTTCATGGATTTTGATTAATAGATAGCTCCAGGTAGGAAGGACGTCGGACATTAGATGCCGACATGTACATTTTCCTTGTCATTCTCATACATTACCTAATTTAAGTTTTGTTCGCAAAACCAGCATCGCCAAATTGTACAGGTAGGTCCTGTAAATATTTTACAGTACGCTAGATCGTACCTAACTAGCTACAGACAATTATTAGTTATATACCTAAGTTAGAGACGACTAACGAACAACCAGACCATCAGTCCCAAATAATCCGCGTTTGTACCTTTGTTTCCTTTCCAGAAACCTGAGTCATTCAAAAAACCTGCACCGGCGTATTTACTTAACCGACCTTAGTATGGCCTTAATGAATGTCGTGGCCGAATCTTTGAGAGGCTCCGTAAGGCATGTAGGACATAAGACTGTAGGCCCAGAAATGTTTCTCAATATAATTATAGGTACTTTTTGATTTTCGGGTCTCGTAGAGTGGTTCTCTGTCGTCTATAATTATGGTTATCCATTTCGAAATACTCAAATGGAGTTTCTAGTAGGTTATTGCGAAGATCAGTATCTTCCTTCTCCTCCTCCTCCTGTAAATTTTTTAAAACACGCTTCTACTTTAGAAAAAGGGACAACTTTAAAAATTGTATGCATCTATACTAAGGAGCAAAAGGGGATGACCTATTTACCACCGTACCAGCATAATTATATAGTCATTTACCTATTTATTTTTAAAACAAACTGGAGATGTTAGATAGACCTAAGCAACGTAACAAACTCGTCCTCAACTTTATGAACTCATTACCCAGGTATTTACATATACGTTGTTGGCTACGAACAAAGTAATTTTAATATTATTATTATGTCTTTATTATCTTTAGGTAGGTACCTACTTATGCATCTTAAACACTTCATATCTATGTTTAGTTGCAAGTTAGATACACCAGTTAGACTATCTAGGTAGGTATAGGTACCTATTGTTTTAATTATAAAGTTATACAGAGTTTTACACACGCAACTATTCACGTTTTTCCGGTTTCCAGTGTTTAGTTTTTGCTGTAAATACGTAAGCACCTATATGCCGGGTCCACACGCTTGGCAAACAATAGCAAACAGCGAACAACAAACGGCAAATACGAATATGTGCATGGGTGTTTGTATGTGTGTCGTGTTGGCCATTGTCCTCACGGATTGTCCTGACCGGCATTGGTGTCGGATAGTGTCGAACACAAACACAGATCATAGGCTGTTCGGCAAACATTTTATGTTGTTTACACACCCTTGCTACACATCGATGTTTGGGACTTTTTGTTGTGTTTGGTATTTAAATTCCACTTAGCTTACTAAAATCTTATGACTACACACACACCCTAATAATTACATTGTGCTACATTAATTTTTCTATATAACAATCTTTTGTGATTTCCGTTGTGCGATTACCTACGTCAAAAATTTTGGTCCTGAACAATTTGTAATTTTTGAATTCGCAAGAATTTAGCTAATACAAATATTTACCTAATTAATAAGAACACATTCGTTTTGGCTAGAACGAGTCAAGACTAGGTAGATGAATTAAGTGCTTAATTACAAAAACAAGGTAATCAATTAATTAAATAAGTAGTAGGTATTACGGCCCTACCTACGGCTGAGTAAATTCTTGTGGATCATACAAAGAGTTGTGCTACGGGAACCCACGTTGACCAGCTACTGCGCCAACCGTGCAGTGAATCTTCGATTTTATTCACATTCTGTTGTAACAACATAATCAACGTAATTCCCTGATTATTATTTTCATATATTTATTTAAAATTCTCTATAAATTACATTTTTAAATACTACTTACAAAATAAAACAAATAATATTTAAAAATATAAAAAATAGGAGCCGACTAGTAGCGGGAGCATGGTCCAAGCGACCGGTGGTTAGGGCTCCAGAGACAGAAACCTCCTCACGATACGTGCCGTTTCTAGGAGAACTGCCTTCTGTATCAGGCCCTTGATCCATCCACCTAACGCTAGCCTCCTTAGATTGATGTCGAGGCTTTTAGGGATTAACCCATTGGCCGACATACATTGATTATTATTATATATAGAAAGTATTAAAATAACTGTCTAGGTGCCTATATTAATTAAATTTTTAATGCATTCTAAGCACAGTAGCTAGAATTAGAAGGGTGATTATCAAAAAAAAAAAAATTACGGTCTAATTGCTAAAAAGAAGTTTCGATCCAATGTTAGATACATTATAATTGTTACCTAAGTAGAGGTATCTTTTTTGAAAATTTCTCAGTAGTAGCACGGAGTCTGGAAATGTGCCCGGTATATGGCAATAGGCTCACCCCCCCCTATTATTACATGGACTCTAACATAAATAGTGAAAAGTGGGTGTTACTTCTGTGTGCACCTCTGCCTACCCCTTCGGGGATAAAAGGCGTGATGTTATGTTATGCTAAGTAAGTAATCCTGTATATAACTATGTAATTTTTAAAATTAAAAAAAATGACGTTGTGTCTTACGTAATTACAATATCTATTATGTACCTACTATAATTTGATTGACATTTTACGCAATTCAATACTCACTGCGACTTGTATTCAACGCTATTTAAGTGAGATAATCTTAAAACTAATTTCGTAATATGTAATAATAGGCCTATGATGGTTCGTGTAAGGCGCGATATTGGGGCCAGCGCTATTTTTTCAACATTAATTTAAATCAATAGGTACCTACGTAGCAATAACCTTAGTACCTAGCGACATTTGCTCATTAATGGCTCGTTTGTTAAATATTCGTCCTCGCAATACAAACCGCACTAATATGTATAAGATCAACTTACGTAAATATCTATTATATTCATATACGAAGGAGGGGTACTTAACAATTTTTTTGGCAGTCATGTAATTCATGATTTTCTTGCTACAGGAGGTGAGCCTAGAGACAATTGCTATTTTTTTAATGATGATGCAAAACCCTCAATTGTTGCCTAGCATTTTGGGAGAAAGACTAGAGATTGTGGCATTTTTATTTCACTAAAACCACTCCAGTGGCCCTCACCCTTACAGGTGTAAGTGACACCGGTACTCGAACAGACCTGTCCCAGAGCACCCAGGGTTCCTAGTATCTACAACAGACACATGTTTAGTAGGGTCGGTACAAAGTTTTGAAAACCCCAATCGGGAGACAAGATCGATGAAGATTACTTCCAAGTTTTCCAACCAGCTAATTTGAAAGCATAGTCTATGTTTATTCAATTTGGGGACTTCGAATAAGATCATATGATGAATAACTTCACCCCATCCTAGAATAAAACCCGAACCTTAACTGTTCAGGACAAAATCATTAAATTAACGGTTTTCTCATCCCCAGGTCTGGATGTAAAGAATATTCCTATGATTGAAAGCAACGTTGACAACCGTGAGTCGTTAAAGAAGGCCCTGCAAATGGCGAAGGTGGTTATAAATTGCACGGGACCAAACTCCGTGTTGAGCGCTCCTATCGTGGAGACTTGCATCGAAACTGGAACACATTACCTTGATATATCTGCTGAAATGTTTGTAAGTGATATTTATTTATTAGCTTTTCGCCATTCTTCAAATCAATGTTAAATTATAAGTAGGTATACTTAAACCTTCTGCATCTTTTGGTGAAAACCGCACAAAAATCAATAGTTTCTGAGTTTATCATTGTTCAAATTATAGCAGAAACACAAAGTTAGACGAGAAATAGAGTTTTGTTTTTCTAAGGATTTGTACTCAAACAAAAATCCGGTTACCTTTAATCACATCTATTACAAAAAATATAGTCAGTTACCTAAAGAACTTTAAATCAGTCTATCGGGTTCGATAATTTCTAGTCCAGAAATCACCATTGAGTGCGTAGTTCTTAAGCTGTCAAAAAAGTTTCTGTACCGTACCTAGGTTGTTGGGTACATAGGTACTGTTGCTATGGACCATTTCATTACTTAGGTAAAAGGCGAAAAATTAATTAGTAGGTAGGTACTCTTACAAGAATTTAAAAATAATAAGAAATACTTATTGTAAGAACTTTCAAGTCTCTTTCATTAATAATCTTCAACCGTCTTTTTTTTTTGAAGTCCATTAATTAATAATAATTAATATACGAAGACCTTCCCCAAGTAAAACAAACACTTTACATAAAATTAATATCGGTAGATAATCGCGTACAAACATACGTACATAAATAAATATACAGGACGTCAAACTGAGATCCTTTGTTTTTCTTCTTGAAGTGGGTAAAAAACGTCAAATCAAGGTCCCCAAAATAAAGATGAAATTCATGGTAATTTAATAAAATTGAGACAAATTTATTGCTGTGCTGATGCTGTCCAAGTCTTTTTTTACTGTTAAGGGGGTATAATCATCTAATTACTCTTGCCTCAAAAGTCTGTCACCCCCTCTTTGAAGTGTCAGAGCCCCGTCAATCCGTTAAGTCCTCCGCGGCTCCATATCGGCATCGGCCCTATTGGGCCCCATCCGTGGTGGTCTGACTGATGGCTCTTTGAGGCGCGCGCTTTTACTTTTCGTAAGAAGACCGGTTCCGATTTCCTAACACACACAATTCAAAATAACTATGTAATAGTATACCGAATTGTATACGTGTGTAATGGTAAAGGAATGTTTGGTATGGAAAATTACAATAACTTGGCCACAAAAAATGTTGATATAGATAGGTGCCTAACAGGTATTTTGAACTTAAATTCATTTGCTAAGAAGTCTAAGCAATAACTTGATCAACTTCAATCCTCAAATTCGTAATTCCCAAAAGGCCAATGTCCACGGGCGGCGTCGATAGCTTACCATTAATCAAGTAGTCCGTCTGCTCGTTTACCGGCTTATTCTATAAAAAAACTTGTGTCTCTAAAACGCCAATATCATAGAAATCACAGACAAGACACAAAGGTTAAATAGATATATAGCTAACTATTTTTTCGAGTTTATTTTTAGAACCTCCTATTCACCTATCGTAATATTATTTCAAGTTTATTGCTAAGTTTTGAGAATGCATAAATTAAATAGTTACAAACAATAAGGCATGATATACATACAAACAATAAGCTAGCTACATTGTCTCTTACTTTTAAAGACAACACACCATAGTCAGTTGGGTAACGACTGAGACTGACAATAGATACCTACGTTGTAAACATACAAACATACATATGAGCTAAACGTTATTAATAATGATTACACATTTTGTGCACTTACGCCCAATTACTGAAAAGCTATAAAATTTTATGTTGTACTTAAATATTACACCATCTGTCATTTTAAAAAGAATTTGTAGTTAGACATATGTCTGTGAAAACGCTACTGTAAAAGTTGAGTAGCGTTTCAGTACTCGGAAATTACTGTTTTTAAAGTTCCTAAATTAATTAAAACATCCTAAATCAGAACACACTACTGACATAAATAACTGTTCGAAGGTCTATAATAAGCAGTAAAACACGGACCTCTATTCTTAAAGAAAATGTAAGAAAGCCGACACCCATCAATTCCTATTGTAATCAAATTTACTAGTATGAAATATACATTAATATCCACCCTGTTTATTTTCAGCATATTCTCCAACTTTACCAAAAATACAGTAAGACAGCTGAAGAGGCGAGTGTATTAGTGGTGCCTAGTTGTGGCTACGCTGCTATACCAACAGAATCAGCTATGATATATTTGGAGAGGCAGTTTAAAGGTAAATAAATATTTATAGTCCATCTGTTTAGGTAATTAACTAAAGGTAAACAAACAAAACCACGTGACACAGAGATACTTAACCTTCTATTACTTCAAATATTTCTCGTGTTTTAATTTAAACTAAATTCACATTAAAATTTTACTATTTACTAAGAAATAAGTGAAAAGGAACAGAAACATAACATTTAATAGAGAAAATTGTCGTAAAAATGGAAACAATTTTATTTTCTTATGAAGTATTTTGAATCATGGAAATGTCAACTATAAAGAACTCTTTTTATGGTTTGTTTACAAATAGTTAACTACCTAAACAGACGGAGTATATAATAACAAAAACAAAACAAAGAAACAAGATAAATTCAACAAAATAGGAACGCGAGCGCAAACGACGAGAGAGCTGTCAATGGCGCCTGATTAACCGACTAAACGTAATACACGCTACTTTCATTGTCGCGCTACATCTTAATTGTACTCTTTAATTTGACAACATTATCTAATGCTTCGTTCATAAAGAAAGGTTTTGGATACCTGGGATTTTAGGCTCTTTATGGTGTCTATTGTAATGAAAAATTATATTTTTTAATAAATGTTATTGAATTATTATGCTCAAACAGATATATATAATATTTACTAAGAAATAAGTGAAAAGGAACAGAAACATAACATTTAATAGAGAAAACTGTCGTAAAAATGGTAACAATTTTATTTTCTTATGAAGCATTTTGAGTCATGGAAATGTCAACTATAAAGGACTCTTTTTATGGTGTGTTTACAAATAGTTAACTACCTAAACAGACGGAGTATAGTAACAAACCATCCTTTTTTTTTAAGGGGGGGAAAACCATCCAATGACTTCTCTCGCCCGGGTGAGGCGAGAGGGAGTGTCAGACTCTTACTGACTAAAAACCACCCCGTTCCTACTCCTTCGAGCCGGAGCCCCGGCAACCCGTTAAGTCTTCCGCGGCTCCGTATCGGGTAACAAAACACCCTGATTTTTATTTTAATAGAATCTTTTATGGAGAAACTCTAGAGTATGAAAGTTTTACCCCATATAGAAGTACTCCATTGTGATCAAGTCACTATTATTTCGACCTTAGATAGATACTAGGTATCTAAAGGGATATTTGGATGAAAGAGAAAATCGAGCTCATCATCATCAACAGCCTATAAGTGGCCACCTGTATTGCTGATCAAAGACCTCTTAGCGCACGGGGAAGGTTTGGGCATTAATTACCACGCTTGCTCAACGCGGGTTGTCGATTTTAAACTTATAATTAGAAATTATAAGGCCAGGTTTCCTTACGATGTACCATTTGCCTGTGGTATCTAGATAATCTTAGAAAGTACATATAACTCGGAAATGTCACATTGGTACTTGCTGATAGTAGGTTTTAAATCCGCACCCTCATGCATGAGAAGCGGGCGTCTTAAAATCGAGCTTAGTACGACAGTACCTACTGTTGGAGAGGTCATGAAACATGAAATACAGCTGGAAATACCAGCTGTAATAAATGTCACTCACCTTTACAAAAGCAAGAACTCAAAATATCCTTATTCCTTTTTCCAGGCACTCTGCATACAGTGGAGTGCTATACAGCATTAGATTTACCAAAGAGAACGTATATTCCTGGTCGTGCTCTCATCCATAATGGAACATGGACTTCTCTCGTGTATGTGTTGGAAAGTTTCAAGGACCATCTAAATTTGTGGAAGGAGCTGTTCCCTAAGCCTGTTGAGCCGGTACCAGAAGAGATGAACAAGTATGTGTTTTAAAGTATGTTTGGTAACTGCTATTGCCACTAGTTACTACATAAAGTATTTGATAAGTAGATATAAGAAAACTGGCGGATAAGGCAAAAGTACCCTTTACACTGTACAATCTTTAGAATTTTAATTTGATAATACAGTTAACGTACCCGTCTCAAGTAGGGTGCTCAACTAATTTCGAGCTATGACAGGGGCTCTTAATTTTATGAGTATAATGAGTATACTGCATTATTTGTATGTTTGTATATACAGAACTTGTATGTTTGTAAACGCACCCACGACACAGGAGAAAATCCTAGTGTGGGGCAACGTTTTTTTGTTTAAAAAAAAAAAAAAAAAAATTAACTAATTTCGTGTGTCAAAGTAACTAAGAAAGGACTACTTAGCCTCTGCAGTCTTTAACCTACCTAATTAGAGGCAGCAACCAGATCGGTCTTCAGTACCAATTACAACACAAACATTATGACATTCATTATTAATTTTCTTACAGATCCTTCTTCCACCGACACAATGGCGAAACGTGGTTCCCTTACCCGGGAACAGAGAATTATGTAGTAGAAATGTCGCAAAGATATTTACATGAAAAAACACAAAAGAAACCTGTCCACTTTAAAGCTTACACAACCATGCCAATGTTCTTCCATTACATTGTAATCCCTGTAATGTATTTATACTACTATCTAAGTTATTTCAAATGCTTTAGAAACTTGTTAATCAATTTCCCTCGACTCGTCACTATTGGGTATGCTTCACAAAAAGGACCTACGGAACGAACTAGGAAGGACACGAAATATAGCTTCATTTTGAATGGCAAAGGCTGGGATTTGGGCGCTGACTTGAATACGGAGCCGACAAAGAAGATGTCAGTAAAGGTACTCAACTACACTTATTTACTTAACTATATTATTTGTTTGTTTTATGGCATTTCGGAGCCAACGTCTCAGTACGTCTTTACTAACAACACATAGTTTGGTACTTGCCAACTAGTCAAATTCAATACTTTTTTCGAACTGTCAAAACGACAATTATTTTCTATTAATTTTGTACCTACGAGATTGTGTATTGTGACGTCACGTTTTTTTAGCGTCAAACAGTATATGTATTTCTTAAAAAATTGCTGGAAATATATTATGATTAAGTTAATTATTATGTTTTCGGCTTACTCACGTAATAATTTGACGAGGAACTCGACTAGATTCAAGCCATGCTAGAGGCTCATTTTCATGAGCAGCTTTACGACATATAGATATAACTAGATCACTATATACTACCTCTTTACTACCCAACAAAATGAGCAGAAGCCTTTGTATGACTTTGTTTTAAGTTTAAAGTATTTGTATTGTAACTTTCGTGAGACATAATAAATAAATTATTATGTTTTCGGCTTACTTACGTAATGATTTGACGAAGAACTCGACTAGTTTCAAGCCATGCTAGAGGCTTATATTCATGAGTAGCATTTCGACCGACCCGTGACGCGGCGACAGTAGCAGCGCTGCAGCGCAGTACAATTTAAGTTTAAAGTAATCGAAAAGAAACCGCGCTCGCCGTTCTGATTGGTTGATTTATTGGAGCCGGCCAATCAGAACGCCGAAAGCATACTCGTTTCGATATTCGCCACCCCTCTGTATTCTTACTTAAAAAAATATAATTATAATTTGCAAAATATTTTTTCAGGTGTCAGGCAGTGATCCAGGCTACGATACAACAGCAATTGCAATTATAATGTGTGCTATCACTATACTGAAAGAAGGTTCAAATATACCTAAGTAAGTACCTACCTAACAAAATTTTTCAGCAGGAGCAGAGAACCCTTTTTTGTTAACCAACTTCAAACAACTACGTACCTTCAGATTTCTAGGTTATGAGCTATTAGTTTTGAATAATATGTCGTTTACCCTTTTAGTCACTTATTGTGAAGTTTAACTGTGTGGGAGCCATTAGCAACGAGTGGGCCAGCTCGACCGAAGTAACTGATGTGAAACAACATTTGCATTGTGTTTCGCCATGCTAAATCTCCCAAAACCACGAATCCCCAACAATCCGTAAATTCAGAATTACTAATCCCTGAAAGGCTGGTTACGTACCTTGTAGAACCTCTGGTGTTTCGAGTGAACATATGAGCGGCGGCGATTACTTATCATCAGGTGATCCATCTACTCGTTTACAGCTTATTCCATAAAAAATTGTTTAATGTATTTTTTTTTTTTCAGAAGAGGAGTCATAATGCCCGGTGCAGCATTCTACAGAACTGATATAGTTGATAGATTGATGCACGAAGGCTACACTTATGAAGTAGTAGGGGCAGGGGACAATGTCGTACAAGTAGCTTGAAATCCAGATATTGCTAGTAAATGATTGTTATTTAAGATTATTTTTTTATAATGCTAATCTACTTCAATGATAGCTGCGTTCTCAGTGGAACAAATATTTCTTTCTATCTCGTATTGTTTTTCTATTAAACCAATGAATGCTTATTATTTCAATTCTTAACCAGACCACAAAGTTAGTGTTTGTAAATAAAATGTTTATTGATTAGTGGTTAAAGAAAATGGAATTTTAAACATAATAATTCTAAGTTAAGTTTTGATAATTATGCTGAAGAACCGGTACCTAAGTAAGCAGGTTAAGTGGTTTTGGGTGGTCGAATATTATGTTAATGAAAGAGTGTAAATAAAGATTAATATTTATACATAATAATATTATTTATATTTATTTAAAGACATACCAACCTTTATACTTATTGAACTCAGTCAGGTACGTATTGTTAGTTGAGTAAACTATATGTGTTAAGTGCTACCTACTTGTAATGAATAGCTCGCCTAATTAGACAATTAGGTAGGTATGTAAGTACCTACAACACAATACAGATGCTGTAAACTCCTGATAATTTGATTTCTGCAGTAGTGTATTTTTAACTGACTTCAAAGAAGGAGGTTCTCAGACTTGTATGTACCCTTTGATTATCGCGTCCGGGCCTAGTGCAGGCCATGATGCGGAGCGAAGGGGACTGGGATGCCGTCTCCTCCTTTTGCGAAGCAGTCATGCTAGCTAAGGAGGAGGCGGGATGTGTGAGGCAGCGAAGCGCTGCCTCCTCGCAACCCAGCCATCGCGAAGGACACACCGGGCGTCGGGGATCGCGGGACGATCTCCGGCCACCGTAAGCGCGGGCCTACGAACGGCGAGCATGGGTGGCTCCCCGTCCGACCAGAAACAGACCCGAGCGTACGGCGCGTCACATTCCGCGCGCGCCTCAAAGAGCCATCAGACCACCACAGATGGGGCCCAAATAGGGCCGATGCCGATTCGGAGTCGCGGAGAACCTAACGGGTAACCAGGGCTCCGACTCGACGTGCAGGAGAAGGAACGGGGTGGTTTTTAGTCAGTAAGAGTCTGACACTCCCTCCCGCCTCACCCAGGCGGGAGCAGTAATCCGATGATTTTCCCCTCTTCAAGAAAAAACCCTTTGATTATTATATTATGTCATTATATAATCAAAGGATATCGCTCTATCTAGAGATTATATAATTAAAGTATGTGTATACCTAAGTTTGTATGAATGCGCGATTAGCTCGCGATAGGCTGAAGTCAGAGGCCTTAGTACGAGTGTCATTTACGTTTAAAGTATTCGAAACGAGTGCGCGTTTGGCACTCTGATTGGCTGGCGCCAATGAACCAACCAATCAGAGCGCCGAACGCGTACTCGATACGATTACTTTAAACGTAAATGAAACTCGTACTAAGGCCTCTGAACCGACTTTGATATGGTTTCCAAAAATGTATTTGTTACACTTAGGAGAAGGTTTTTGTATATTACTTAACCGAGTTCATAAACTAGAATTATTAGGTTAATTTATCGTTTTCATTAGTCATAAGACGTCCTCTGCAGAAGTGCAGAAAATAATTGTACCGTGATCCAATGACTTTATTTACTTTTTAAATTCAATTATAAAGTTACCCAGATAATAGAGCTAACAGGTTAACTGAATGTACATACATTTGAATTTCCCGCTTTGTGTCAGTTATCAGATTAGTTATTGCTACTTTTGTCAACAAAACGTTCACTCATTTATTTTATCGGGGGCCGGTCGCAGAATAGCTGGTACAATATTGTTTTCAGTTCAATAGTTTACAATATACGTGACCACGTCGTTCGGGTTTCCCACGAGGCAAATCAGAATTCTCAATGTTTTTTGATTAGTTCAATTTATTCAGTAGCCAGTTGAGGCAACGACAAGTGGTGCTTTTTTTAATATTTTTTCTAATACACAAGGAGTGATATAAAGTGCCTTTGTCTATATATTTTATTAATACTTGTGAGTGCTGTAAGTACCTAACTGTCTCTGTTTATATTTATTGAGATTATTATGTTACTTCACTATTTTAGTTAGAGTAATCTTGGTGTTGAATACTTAATTATATTATGACCTATGCGTTAGACCTTGACATTATTCTTGACATCGATAACACAAACATTTCATTACATATAACCATTTCCTGTGTAAGTTGTTAGTAGAAACAAAGCTAAAAAAAAAATGGGACTCATAGATGTATTTTTCCTCATTATTGTTTATGTTCACCTTCCTGCGTATCTAATATCGCCCTGGATATTAATTGAAGGTGTGTGCTGAGAATTTAAAATGTGTTAATAGGTACTTAAATAGCTTTGGTAGGCAAGATCCTGATTCTTATTATTATTAATATGACTCCTGTTTATCCCATGGGAGGATTTAATCGGGATAAAGTATCCTATCACCTAAGTCACCCTATACCACATAGGTACTTACACCATACTTAGGTATACCAAATTTCATCAAAATCCGTTCACTAGTTTCAGCGTGGTTGACGGACATACATCGAATGAAAAATTATCTCCATAAACTCCACTATAGTTGATGAAACGTTGAAGAGCTTAGTATATGTATAACACTGCACCTGATAGAGTTGCCACCATGCATATTGTGTGAATACCTAATGAGGCTAACATTTTCTCAAAATCTGTTAATGTTCTATGTACTTATAATTCTGTAAGTAACATATATATTTTTAACACGTTCAAAAAATAACAAAATAATAATTGGGTGCGACATAAGTAGGTAGGGACTACCTATTGTGGTAACCTAACCCACATTTGAAGGGTCCAACAACTTTAAAGCTTAGCTTCGGTACACTAATTTTCTTAATAGGTAGGTACTAACGCAGATTTTCAAAATCTATCCAAAATTACAGATAAACAGTATGACAACTGCGAATCTAGAAAAGGCTTTCGTAATCCTCGCGAAAGCAACTGAAGAAGATGACAAGAAGAACTATGAAGAATCATTCCGATATTATGTGCAAGGCATAATTTATTTACTCCATGTTACTAAATATGAAGCGAAGGGAGATTTGAGCAAAGAGCACATAAAGGAAATTACTTCAGACTACATAGATAAAGCTAAGAAGGTCAAGGAGTATCTTGATGCAAAGAAGACTAATGAGAGCGAATATTTGGAGGATTTGGAAGATCGAACCACAGATAGTGTAGTCAATGTTATGGTTGAATTAGTTTGTATGTTTGGAGATACTACGCCGACTCCGGTAACGGTTAATGAAAATAGCAGTGCAAAACACGAACAATAATTAATTACCTAAATGCTTCTAAGCTACGCTACGTGATTTCTTTTTTCATTAGAAGGGACAAATATAAGACATAACATAAATAAAGGATACAGTAAGTACATACCTACATACATAGAAGCAATTTAAGGACCTGACTTATTATAGAGATGTAGATATGTAGATCTATCTACTTGATGTTTAAATGCACTTTTCTTAGTAGGAAGGTACCTAATTACCTACCTATTTCTAGAAAGACTAACCCTTCTATGTGCTTCTACCATAAGAAAATAGAAACTGAAAAGGTTAGGCCATAAAAAATCAAGGAAGGTACCAGATGTATTCTTAAGAATTTACTCGAGTAATTATTTGACGGGGAACTCGACATAACATCACGCCTCTTTGTCCCCGAAGGGCACACACATTACGGCACTTAATGCCACTGTACAACGTAACACCCACTTTTCACTATTTATGTTATGAGTCCCATGTAATAGGGGGTGAGCCTATTGCCATATACCGGGCACAATTCCAGACTCCGTGTTGCTACTGAGATTTTTATAAAAACTCAGTAACATTTTGCTCGACCCGGGAGTCGAACCCGAGACCCCTTGACTGGCAGTCGCACTTGCGACCACACAGCCAACGATGCAGGCAGCAAGTAAAACAGTAATTAAGTAGGTAGTAGGTAGGTATGTCTCAAGAAAGTTATAATATAAAACCAGGAGTAGGTACTCTCTCTTACCCACTCCATTATAGACCTTATTTCCGATGTTTAGGCACTATTTTTTATAAACAATGAATGCACCGATATGAGACAATAGAAAATACATTGTGTCTCGCGTGGATCTACGTCTTAAGACACACGAAAGGTTAAATGTAAAAAAAAACTGCAATTGTAACAATACGATAGATGACTAATTTTTATTTTAATGTCCGTCTGGTATCTACCTAGATTATTTATAAACATTAGACACGTATTTTTATTTTTTTTACGGAAACGAATAGTTTCGATGATAAATTATTATATTGATTTGAAATGTCGCGTGACGTCACTTCTCAGTAGGTACCTACCTATATTTTATACGTAGAAATGACGTTTTAGCCCCCACTCCTAAACTTTGATTCGATAAATCTAAGTATCATTTTATTATACAACAAAATAAAAATACGTGTCTAATATTTTTTCATTACCTAACTGACAGACTAATTGCATTTTTAATTTTCATACCCTATCATCATCCCTATTGCACCATATTTACTCCATCCAGTGAAATCTAATAATAATATTTACGTGAGCACGAGTTGAATTATCCGCCACTGGTTTTAGAGTTAAACCGAGTCTTTATCAGCTTTATATAGTTATATTTATCAGTATTCGCTGACACTATTGTTTTTATTTCTATTTCAATAATAAAGTAAGTCGTCATTTGGTTTTTCCAAAACGCGAGCATTCAGTTATACGAATAATAACATAGTGATATTGTTCAGATAATCAGACGGTGAATGCGTGGACATTGTATAATCGGCCGCGAAACCGACCGGAGCTCGGTGTTACATTTCTAATATTAACGTCAAAAAGAAGTTTGTGTCGTAAAATAAGTAATCAGTAAGTATTAATTATATAACTAAAATATTTTACATCAGTATCACGTGTGCATACTTATATTACTTATACATTTTGCGAACATGAACTCACAGCTACTAGAAATAAAGAAGTATGTTGGTAGGTACACATTTCTTACCTACTTACTTTAGGCTTAAGTGCCTACCTAGGTAGGTACCTATTGTGTTCTCTTTCTCAGTAGCAGATACTGCCGGTACTGATCACAAGCAGTGCACAATTTGATTCCCCCTAGTCCGTTCCATCATCGTACCCACAGAAAATCAGAAATATTAAAAAAGGAGAAGTTGCAAGGGGGCGTGTCCGTGACGCTCGCAATTGAGCGTTTCGCTCAATCGAGGAAGATATGGCCGTCACCACGAGTTAGTCTGTTGTCACGCGCGATCGTAAGAGAAACGATAAAATACCGTCTTGTGCAGTGGTTTCGTGCAGAAATATAAGCCAAAACAAAAACTGTAGAAGTCATGACATAAGTTACCATGTGTAAGAACAAATATTTACAATATTTACCTAAAAAATCACGAAAAACAACAAGTTATTACTTTATTTTTATTTTTCTATACTACTCCGACTGTATTATAACTACATTAATACATTGCTCTTTTACAACCACCTTAGTGTAACACTGAGTAACTAAACCAGCAATGTATATAAGTGAAACGAAACGCTCACAAGACGCGATGTCACATGGTGCGTCCGCTGCTCAAGTCCGCCGTATTTGAGCGAGAAAGTGATGTGGTCGTGGAGATTTATCAAAGTCTATCGACAAGAAAGTCGACTGCAAATAGCTATATTTGTTCACTTATCTTGTTATGGTTACAGTATTTTAATCTTCTTTAATCTTCATAAATGAACCATTAGCTTTGTATGCATTATAATGATCAGCATCGCATAGTCGAAATTTTGTACTCACGGAGCAGTCCCCAATGAATACCTAACCACATAATATTTTTAATAAAAACAGTCATGGAAAAATATACCACTTTAAGACTTCATTAATTAACCAAGAATGCGATCCCTTCTTATCCAAATTATATCATTATAACTACATACAACTTGTCGTTTGATTTGTAATTATTTTTTAAATAAAACATTTTTTATAATTAAATAATATTTTGTTGGTTTCATGTCGTTTTTACATTATTTTCAAAACCTTTGTAATAGATTTATCGATAAATTCATGGGCTCGCTGCCATCGCAGCGGTAAGTCCCCTCTTTGAGGAGTGGCTTGAGAGACGCTACGGCGTCCTCACCTACCGCCTGACGCAGGTCCTCACCGGACATGGAAGTTTCGGGAGGTACCTGTGTCTGATGGGGCGGGAGGAAACGCCCGGGTGTCATCACTGCGAGGACCGCCCTGAGGACACGGTGGAACACACGGTGGGAGAATGCCCTTCGTGGGCTGAGCACCGCCGTGTCCTCAGGGAAGTGATCGGCGATGGCGACCTCTCGCGTCCGGGCCTAGTGCAGGCCATGATGCGGAGCGAGGGGGATTGGGATGCCGTCTCCTCCTTTTGCGAAGCAGTCATGCTAGCTAAGGAGGAGGCGGGACGCGTGAGGCAGCGAAGCGCTGCCTCCTCGCAACCCAGCCATCGCGAAGGACACACCGGGCGTCGGGGATCGCGGGACGATCTCCGGCCACCGTAAGCGCGGGCCTGCGGACGGCGAGCATGGGTGGCTCCCCGTCCGACCAGAAACAGACCCGAGCGTACGGCGCGTCGCGTTCCGCGCGCGCCTCAAAGAGCCATCAGACCACCACAGATGGGGCCCAATAGGGCCGATGCCGATTCGGAGTCGCGGAGAACCTAACGGGTAACCGGGGCTCCGGCTCGACGTGCAGGAGAAGGAACGGGGTGGTTTTTAGTCAGTAAGAGTCTGACACTCCCTCCCGCCTCACCCAGGCGGGGGCAGTCATTCGATGATTTTCCCCCCTTAAAAAAAAAAAAATCGATAAATTCATCGGGAGCGTCAAGTCAAGTCACTACGGCGACGCTCCTAACACACAGAGTGACAAATTGTTTTAGTGTGAGTAAATCATAGGAGAATGTGCGCTGTCGTTTAAAGAATAAGGCTTATATTTGAATTACTGAGTTATCGATGCCGCGTGTGTGCACTTATTCGTAGTATTGTTTTGTCAGAACTGTGTGTGTAATACATTAGTTTTATGGAGGGGCACTTGTGGCTTCACGGGTTTGCATATACATTTTTGACTCCACACCATATCTACTTATTTAATATATCTGTGATCGTACCACAAGACAATCGGCGAAGCGTCACCGATTCATTCATGGTAGATGTCCCACCTACACGCACGAAGCATTTCGCATCAAGGTTCCTTGTGCGTACTGGTAGGTACGTAGTGGAATTCTTTGCCAGAGTCTGTATGTCCTGAAGGTTATAACCTGGGCGTCTTCAAGGCCCGAGTGAATAGGTTGCTTATGGGACGACGTGCTCCATCGTAGACTGCATCATCGCTTACCCCCAGTTACTCCCAAACGTATGCCCATCAAAATATATAAAAACGTCTACTATTTAGATAGGTTTAATTACTTACCCTAATGCCTACTTTACCTGCATACTTTATTTACGTACCTAAATATCTATTTGTGTTCTTTATTTCAGATAAACATCTTGACAACATAATGGAAAATACTAGTAATACTTTACAAAAAGCCATTGAAATCCTTAATGAAGCTACAGAAGACGACAAGAATAAATACTACGAAGATGCATTACCCACATACGTACAAGGTGTAATTTTTTTACTTCACGTTGTTAATCATAATGTTGATATCCCTACCGCTACCATGATAGCAAAATCGAAGTCGTTAGCGTACATGCAAAGAGCTAAAAAACTTAAGGACCACCTAGAAAAGCATAAGATAATAACAGTGAATAAATACTTAGATGATTTGGAAACCATTACTGACAGCGATATAGTCAACGTTTTGTTTGAAACAATTTGTTTATACAAAGAATCTGAAGAAGAATCAACGTCAGTTCCTGTAAGTGAAAGTAATTCTAGCCTTCATTAAATATGTACATACCTATCCTTTTTCATTGTTTTTTTTATCTCTTATCAATTTCTCCATTTCACCAACTTCAAGACCTAAGTTTTCTTTGTTTTTTAACCAACTTCTTCACACATACTTACATAATAATAATACGTAGGTACGTAAGCAAGCGTTGAATTTTCCGCCACAGATTTCAGAGTTATTCAGCTACATTGAATAGTTTATGCTTATCAGTATTCGCTGATATTATTGTTTTGATTTCTATTTCTATTATAATAAGGCAGGCAAATCGTCATTTGGTTTTTCCAAAAGGAAAATAAACATTCAGTTCAACGAATAATAACATGTTGATATTATTCAATTAATGCGTGGACATTGTATAATCGGCTGCAGAACCGTTGGTGTTACATTTCTAATATTAACGTCAAAAAGAAGCTTGGGTCGTATTTTAAAAAATCTCAGTAAGTACCTAGACATTATTTACCTAAAATATTCTTACAGTAGTACCATCAGTACCTATAACTTGTGTGTAAGCAAACGTTTACACGCTTGCGAACATAAACTCACAGCTCCATAAGCGCATAGACTCCTCTGGTGTTGCGGGTGTCCATGGGCGGCGCTGATCGCTTACTACAGGTGGTCCGTCTGCTCGTTTACCTCCTATGCCATAAAAAAACAGCGAAGTACTAGAAATAAAGAAATGTGTACCTAGGTACTTAGGCCTAAAGTAAAGGTAGGTACCTCCCGTACCTCATGTGTTTAGTCAGATTTTCAGTAGGCACCTTTGTCCTATGTAGATGCCTAATTATTGCCTACTCTACCTTATACTGCACTAACGACCCGCCCCGGCTTCGCACGGGTGCAATATGCATATATTATAGGAACATAAAAATCTTATCACACACTAGGTATCTATTAAAAAAACCGCATCAAATTCCGTTTCGTAGTAGTAAAGATCTAAGCATATAGACAGACGGGCGGCGGATAGCGACTTTGTTTTATACTATGTAGTGATACTATGTACCTATATGATTACCGTACCTATATATATATATATCTACTTTATTTTAGATAAACATCTTGACAACATAATGGAACATCCTAGTATTACTTTACAAAAAGCTATTGAAATCCTTATTGAAGCTGCAGAAGATGACAAGAATAAATACTACGAAGATGCATTGCCCACATACGTAAAAGGTGTAATCGTTTTACTTCACGTCTTTAATCATAATGTTGATAACCCAACCGCAACCATGGAAGCAAAATCGAAATCGTTAGCGTACATGCAAAGAGCTAAAAAACTTAAGGACTTCCTAGAAAAGGAGAAGATATTAACAGTGAATAAATATTTAGATGATTTGGAAACGATTACTGACAGCGATATAGTCAACGTTTTGTTTGAAACAATTTGTTTGTACAAAGACTCTGAAGAAGAATCGTCGTCAGTTCCTGTAAGTGAAAGTAATTCTAGCCTTCATTAAATACTTATCCTTGTTGCTTTGTTTTTTTTTTATCTCTTACCAATCTCCAAACGATACAAACTTCTTTCTAGACCTAGGTTTTCTTTCATTTTTAAACCGATTTAAACAAAAACGGGGATGAAGTCGGTTTTTTTAAACAATAGAAGAACTATTTTCCTTGGATGGAAAAGAAGAACTATTTTCCTAATCTTATACTTATTAGACCTACTTTTTGCTCATAATTTTCCAAAAGGTTCAAACGTTCAATCAAAAGTACAAGTTGCCAATAGAAAAATTGCAAATTCTAGTTAAATCAAAGGTATTAAAATCTAGGAGTGAAATGAAGAAAGTGTAAAAATTATTAAATAAATAACAAACATAAATTAAATTTATTGAAGTAAAAATATTTCATGCGTAGTATTATAATTTTTTAATTATTGTGATATTATTTACATTTTCTATGCTGGCAATGTTAGTCACTAATGTCATGAAAAAGTGACTAACAACGATTTGTCTGTAATTCTGTATTGGTATTTTACTTTTTCGTCGCAGTTTAGTGATTTAAAAAGAGATTAAACTTGACTTGTGCTTATAATAAACCATCTTGACACTGCTGTGGATGGTAAGCTCACTGTTTTTTGTTTAAATACACACGTATAATGCCTAATTTCCACGGCCGTTTGGTCCGTGATCTCATTTGGCTGCCCAATTCGTCATTGGATAAAGTAGGCAGAGCCTATGAACACAAACACATTAAATTAACGATGAGCAAGCCTAATTGGCTAAATCTTTTTATATTCAAGTACTGTAGAAAGGTATGAGCCCGGATTTGGTTGAAATGTTTCAATAGTCTGATAAATTATTAGATGTTATGTATCTCGGTCGCAATTATGTTTGCTCAGTATTTGTGTTGTAATTTTTCCTCCTTTACTGTCATTCAACTTGTGCTCAGATCTAGAGCTCCAGTAGATTAAGATGTTAGACTTTCATTCACTTATATTTTTCTAATTTAGTTTGAAATATCCAATCCAATTTCCAGAAAGCATTTCTAAGTTACTAAAATGAGTAAATGTCAACTATCTATGCACAAAAAGTTAATAATTTAGTATGAAATTGTGTATGTGAACATTGTGCCAACAGCTTAATCTCCCTGGCCACTATTAAAGAAAAATAGTGAACTAATTAGATACTACTTTTGTATGAAGAAGTTTTGGGTATGATATGTCAATGTATTAAAAGTGTACTACTATAGACTTTGCCGATGGTAAAACTTTGATAATGTATTAGTACTGGGAATTAAGAAAAAAAGGTTGTTAATTTCTGCTTGTTTTGTTGACTATCAACTTTATATATTCACAAACCATAGAATTTTTTTATCTGATCCTCCTATTTTCTTATAGCCTTTCATATTATTCTCATTAACAGATAAAGTTTTCGAAAAGTATTCCTTCACTATTCACTTTGCCGAGAATGTATTTTAATGCATAAATATATATTCCTGACTGTGTTAGTCAATCTGCGTTTTAGTGTTCAATAATCTAGGGTTCGATTCCCAGGTGATAAGAAGGTTAATTATTTGCTTATTGAAAATTCTTAGCAGCCCTTGACTTGTTGTTGTTTCCTTTTATAACTGGGACTTTACTATGAATTATGATATTAAACTGTCAAACACCGAGCGGTCACCGGTGACCGTAACCTATTGTTCTTTAATTGTGTCTATAAAGATGGTACTCAACAAGTTAATACTATGCCTACATCTCTGAGAATATAAGTTGTGATTTTACATGTATGTAATCATTATTTTTACTCTTTATTAGAATATAATCTTATATACCTACATAAAACTACAGTATCATATTCATTAAAATTGTGAAATGTGACCATAAAAAAATGCAGCGCTATGGTGCGTTCTTTGGTCACTGATACGAAAATTCATACAATAATTGTCCAAACACTGTCCCTCAAAATACAGGTCAAATCTAGTTTGAGAGGCAGGATCCATAATTGTAACCCCAGATCATACAACAATCTAAATATTGTATAACTAATTGTCCATGAATAGATCTGTATACTTTGTATTGAATAAAGTTTTTATTATTATTATTATAACATTCTTAATATATAACTATTGCATAGTGATCATTATATGACAACTCACTGACATCCTAGATTTGGCTCCGAGCCAAGAAAAATATAAAAAATAAACATTTTTTTACTGGCAAACACAAGTTATTCTACATGTAGACATGGAACGAAACAGCATTCACATAAATGCTAACACGACAGAGGTAACCGAGGGCCCCAAACTAGGCACAGCCTATATCTTTGTGGCCTAAAAAGAAATTGTTGGTTTATTGATCAATATTTTCTTAGTGCTGTACCTACAGTTTCATTTTAAGTATTGATTGACTCATAAACCAATTTTGAATACGGAGAGTACTCCGTCAGGGTTATAGATATGTGATGCTATTAGTAATTGAAGTCCTTGGGATATTAAAAGTTGTACCACATTGTACTTGAATGATTTTTACTTTAATTTGCGGTTAATTTATTTTATGGGTATTGACATAAGATTGTGTCAAATTTAAAATGGAAATAAATCCATGACTCATAGTCATAGAACATCCTTTTAGATAGCATATTACATAGAATTACTTCGTTTGGTTATAGTAAGTTTGTGGCTAATTTACGACATTTTCTAGTGATTAAAACATTTGTTATTGATTTTCAGGTAACAATAAAGTAAAGGAGAATGGCATCATCTAATACTTTGCAAAAGGCCATTGACCTTGTCACAAAAGCTACCGAAGAAGACAAGAACAAAAACTATGAAGAAGCTCTGCGTTTATATGAGCATGGTGTAGAATATTTTCTACATGCTGTCAAATATGAAGCTCAGGGCGAAAGGGCTAAGGAAAGTATAAGAGCCAAGTGCCTACAGTACCTTGATAGAGCCGAAAAACTCAAAGAGTACCTCAAAAAAGACAGCAAGAAGAAACCAGTCAAGGATGGAGAATCCAACTCCAAAAGCGAAGATAAAAAGAGCGATAGTGACAGTGATTCCGATAATCCTGAGAAGAAAAAGCTTCAAGGAAAACTTGAAGGTGCTATTGTAGTGGAGAAACCTCATGTGAAGTGGAGTGACGTGGCTGGGTTAGAGGCAGCTAAGGAAGCTTTGAAAGAAGCTGTTATCCTCCCCATTAAATTCCCTCATCTCTTCACAGGTAAAAGAATACCTTGGAAGGGAATCTTACTCTTCGGACCCCCTGGTACTGGTAAATCTTATTTGGCTAAAGCTGTTGCTACTGAAGCCAATAACTCAACATTCTTCTCTGTCTCTTCCTCCGATCTTGTTTCCAAGTGGCTTGGTGAGTCTGAGAAGTTAGTGAAGAATCTCTTCGAGCTAGCTCGCCAACACAAGCCAAGTATCATATTCATTGATGAAATAGATTCTCTATGCTCATCTCGATCCGACAACGAGTCTGAATCGGCTCGACGAATCAAAACCGAATTTCTTGTACAGATGCAAGGTGTAGGCAACGATATGGACGGTATTCTAGTTCTCGGAGCTACAAATATCCCGTGGGTACTCGACTCTGCTATCAGGAGACGTTTTGAGAAGCGTATTTACATCGCACTACCTGAAGAACATGCGCGTTTGGACATGTTCAAGTTGCATTTGGGAAACACAAGGCATCAACTCACAGAGCAGGATTTGAAAGTGTTAGCTACTAAAACTGAAGGATACTCTGGTGCTGACATCTGTATTGTAGTTCGAGATGCGTTGATGCAGCCCGTGCGTAAAGTGCAATCTGCTACACACTTCAAGAAAGTGTCTGGCCCCAGCCCATTAGACCCTAATGTTATCGCAAATGACCTCCTTACTCCTTGCTCTCCTGGCGACCCAGGCGCGATGGAAATGACTTGGATGGATGTACCTGGTGATAAATTGAACGAACCTCCAGTAACAATGTCTGACATGCTGCGCTCGCTGGCTATTTCGAAACCCACTGTAAATGACGAAGATATGGTCAGGCTTAGGAAGTTCATGGAAGATTTTGGACAGGAAGGATAGATTTGATGCATTTTACTTATTTAAATATTATAAGATTTTATTAGCTGTATTTTACTGGAGTTTATTCACAGTGCCTAATATGTTGCAAATGTAGTCTTTTTATTTTTATAAATTTTTCAATCTAGGTTAGTCCACATAATTGTGTATAGTAGTCTCACAAATATTGTTCGTTGTTAATTGTATCACATTCACATGTCCAGCTTGTAATTTCATTTCACGATGATTGCGAAGCTCTGAAATGTGTGGTGTACAACTTTAAGAATTTATGCCTACAATAATTTTGATAGTGTTTAAAGTTTCAATAACAAGTATGCCTTTACTGTATTTCTCGCAATATACTAGTGTAACATCTCGAAGTAATTTAAGTATTATGGTCCATGAATGTAATAATATGCAAAGGCATTCTTAAATTTTTGTGATTTATTGGTCTTAGGATTCCATTTTGTTACAAAGCATTCAACTGCTTGCTAAGAGAATTGTTTGGTTTTAGGAAACTAATCCTGTATTTCATCACGCTTCTATTTAACCATACTTCAAATCTTGATGTCCATTTGTTGTAAACACCAATGACGTAAATTGCATGGTATGTTTAGCTAGATAAAATAATTGCTTATCTAGATTAATATTTACAAATTGTATTTTTACAACTTATCTATGAATTGTAATGTAAAACAATATGCTTAGTTTCCCCAACTTAACGGAATATTGTAATTGTTAAAATTATATAAGCATCCTTTTACTAGTAACTGTTGTTCTATAAGTATTCTAGATTGTTTCCTCGGATTATCTTTGCAATAATATTTTTTGTGGAATTAACATCTTTTAATACAGACTAGTGAAATAAATTGTTAAATTCTGATTAAAAGTAATTCATATATTTATTTGTTGTGATATTGGCAAGCATTTTATTTTTATAACGTTTACCTTTTTGTATTCTGTACATAGAACATCTACACCTCGTATTTATACATTATGTTCATTTATGAAAACATACAAACACAAGAGATTGTGCACTTAATATGTAATTATTATAATAGTTATTATTATTTCGCAAACTATCGTAAATTACTTTTAATTTTTGATCTTAATAAACGTTTAGTTCGTTCACTCTTTTGTATATTGTTAAAATAAGTGATATATTATAATGTTCTGAAATACTGTGTTTATTATTTCGATTCGACAGTGTTGAAAGTTGAATATAATAAAACAGCGTATTACAAATGTATCTTTATTTACATTAACTATATGTAAATGCGGAAATATCACGATATCTTTACACAAACAATGTTCAGTGTTATCATTATAAGTAAACTAAACGGTTTGTTCCAGCTTGATGAGTTTATTTCTGAAAAAGAAAGAATAAACATTGGTTTGTTATAGAGAAAGTTATGCTTATGAACAATTAAAAATGTAGATTGTGTTTGTAAATTATCATCTAAAGACTCGCTTAATTAATGAAACATTCCAGTTAGACATTCGAATTTGCTCATTTAACTTTCAATTTGATTTTGATTGGTCGCCAGTGTGACTTAAGTCCCGGGTTCGATTCCAAGATCAAGTCAATTTAAGCTAATTTTTTTGGTCTTTTGAGTGTCGAAAATCTTATTACTATTATAAAGGGAAAAGTGAGTAACGTCTTTTAGTTATTTTAACTCTGTACTAATTTTATAGTGTTACCTATAATAACTGTCCGTTCCCGTCTATGTGTTCCTATAGTGGCCACACATTTGAGCTTCATACGAGGCTTGGTGGGCGCTCGAAGGCCGAGCGTAGAAACCAGCAACCCTTGTGCCGCAGGCTTCGCTCCAAACGCGATCAGCCATGATCTGTCTGTGATCTGGAAAGAGATGTAAATAGAAGTGTCTAAGTAGAATGTAATTTCTTGTGTTGTTGGTACGCTTGGCTTAGTAGCCAAGGCGAGGTAGTCCTCGCCAGGTGATAGCGCGACCAATGAACGAGCATGCCTGCCGTATTCACTCGGGATTTGAAGACGCCCAAGTTGGTGTCTTCAAAGTGGATTAAATGCATACAATAGAATACAAAATTACACTAACAAAGTTCGTAATTGTTTACGATGTACAGTAATATAAGTTCGTCCTTATTATAATTATGTTAACATAACCTTTAGGTACCATATTATATAATTAAACATCTGGCGAAAGGTCAGTGTTTTTATAATCGTCTCAACATATTATTATCTCTGCGTTACGACGTATATATATTGTACCCCTTTGGGGAATAAAAGGAGTGATGCTATGTTTAAGATTACAAGTAGGTACCTACTATAAGAGTGCAAATATTATAATGATTACAGCATCAAAAAATTACGAGTGCGTTTGTTTTTGAAGGAGAAATAAATGAAAGAGCTTCATAACGTTAATTAGGTACCAACATTTGAAGTGTGATCTCAACCCCATACTTTATGAAAATAAAATTTACATTCACGTGATTTAGGTACAACCATTTTCTATAACTTATCTATCTGTAGATTTCCTTACTGAGATAGAATTTTGACACATTTTGTATGGAACTTAGGCTTATATGTAGAAAATGGCCGTTAGATATCGAATACTCTCTCGCGGGTTTCTCGTACACACGGGTGTACGAAAGAGTTGAGTGCCCATCGCGCAATTGTACACACGGGTGTACGAGAAACGCGCACCGATTGGATATTTTTTCTGTGAAGTATATTTTGAAGTTTGCAACCCGTTCTTTATTTGATTGAACAGAATTGTTAATTCGCTTTTCTATTAAAATATTTACCCGAGTGTACGAGAACGCGCGTTTACCCGTGTGTACGAGAGGCGCGCGAGAGAATACTTATCAATAAATGGCATTTCATTTCTGTTGGTTGAACGTCCAACTTTCATACCTACTAAAGTGCCCAAGTTGCATATGGGACGACGTGCTCCATCGTAGACCGTATCATCACTTAGCACAGCACCAGGCGAGATAGTGGACAAACCTCGGCGCATCAAGAAATTATCCTTTTGTCATAGGGATGATTTTAAGATGAAGGTTCCTTACTTAGGTTGGTAGATACTATTATTTATATATTGCAATTAAATAAGTATAAATTTAAAGTAGTCAGCTGTATAAAAAAAATGAGTTTTTATCACCACCAACTAACCTTTTGTCCATCTATAAGCCATTGTAGATCAGGAGCTGGAAACGATTTGGCAGATGAGCAGTTTACATCCAGAGGTTCTTTCAATTTATACGCCCGCTCGTGACCCGTGATGCGTGGAGTTTCGCGTGGGAAATCTGAAATAATGTTTTAAGAAAGTACATAGACGAGAATCGGTATAGGTAGGTATCGGTATATGAAAATGAAGGGCTGTTCGTTAGTCTAAGTTTAAGTGTGGGAGTGCCATGCTTCGGCAAGAATGGGCCGGCTTGACTGGAGCGATACCACGGCCTCACAAAAAACTGACGTGAAGCAACGCTTGCGTCGTATTTCGTAATGTGAGTGACGTTACCGGAGGCCCAATTACCCCCCTCCAAGCCCTGAATCCCCAACATTCGTCAAACTCCTAATGCTCAAAAGGTCAGTAGCGCACTTGTACGCCTTTGGTGTTCCAGATGTCCATGGGCGAGTCCGATTGCTTACATCTGGTGATCTGTCTGCTCGTTTACCGGTATATTCCATAAAACAAGTTTCACTAAAACTCGAAAATGACTGAACCAAGTTGACTAATTTTGATCTTAAATTATTTGTGGAAGTCCTAGGAAGGTTTAAAAGGTGAGGAAAAATGGTTTGAGGTTTGCCGGTACAGCTAGTGTAGGTATAAAAAGTACAAGAATTTATCCACGTTGGAAAATTGTAGGTACCTATGGTTGTAAACAAACCCACGATACAGGAGAAAATCTTAGTGTTAGGCAGCGTCTAAAAAAACTTCTAAAGGGTTCAATTATTCTAAACCAATCTAGCTTTTAATTAAAGAGATCTAATGTTTAGTTGTTACTTCATGTGCGTGCATCCTTAGTTTTACGTTAACGCAGAGCATGATGTGGACATTCTTTCTTGGAATGTTTCATAAAATCTAGGTAATTGAAATAACAAGTTCCACCACACAATATTTAAAAATAATACAAACATTGTTAAACTAGTAATTTTTGTGGGAAAACGTCGTGCTTTTCATAATTTGTTTTAGCGAACTTGAATAGGGACTGCGCGGTTGCAATCGACTCAACCGAGCTATGGACTTCAAGGTTTCCTAGCGGTCGATCGAAATATTACGAAGTTCTTCATCCCTCAAAGTCCGCAGTTATAATATCAATAGCAAGAGGTCTAGAGTTATTCTTAGTTTTTATCAACTCTTTAACCTTTATCCTTTTATTTAGGTAGGTACATGAAAATAAATTCACGTTCTCATTGAACCTTTCAATGACGTCACACGGCACGTAATACGAATCGGAACGTCATTATTGTTGTGTTTCAATTCTGTTACGAGAGGGTCGTTGTCTCTTAAAGAGCTCGTTTCAATGAAATGTGTTTAGGAGTTGTATTTTTACGATAGGTACCCTATTTGTTTTGACAGAGGTAAAACGTTCCTTCTTATTATAATAGGCTTCATGTTATGTAAAGGTAATGGTTTATTTTGTTTTTTGAATTTGTTTATCAATAGCATTTCTATGTATACCTCTATATAAATTTTAAGGTTCTTCTATCTATCTAGAAACTAGAAACATATCATGTTCAGTGACCGAAAATAGAAATACCTATATGCTATGTAATCGCTCAGTTATTTACCGTTTTACAAATTAACAAGTTAAAGGTTACCAGAAAGTATAATAAAAATATGAATGGAAATTTGATTTACACACAATGTGCATCGCGGGCCTGCGGACGGCGAGCATGGGTGGCTCCCCGTCCGACCAGAAACAGACCCAATAGGGCCAATGCCGATTCGGAGTCGCGGAGAACCTAACGGGTAACCGGGGCTCCAGCTCGACGTGCAGGAGAAGGAACGGGGTGGTTTTTAGTCAGTAAGAGTCTGACACTCCGTCCCGCCTCGCCCAGGCGGGAGCAGTCATTCGATGATTTTTCCCCCCTTAAAAAAAAAACGGGTACTTAAAAGTAACAAGTTGGAAGCGGGCGTCATGAGGCAGCAGCAGACGACGTGTTAATGACAATTTAAACTGGTTTCTATGTATTTCTATAAAATTAACTCCGTAGTTAGAGACACGAAGCTGGAAACGCGTCGTCGAGCGGCAGCTGACAGTGTTGCCCGACCGCGGATTTGTAGTGCCGCAGTTTTTTATAGCATAAGCCGGTAAAAGATCAGACAGATCACCTGATGGTAAGCAATCACCCGAAACACCAAGGCGTTACAAGTGCGCTACCCGCCTTTTTGGCGAATTGGGAATTTGAGGATTGTGAAGGATTCGGGGATTCGGGAGACTAGGGAGGGGTGTAATTGGGCCTCCGGTAACCTCACTCACACGACGAAACACAACGCAAGCGTCGTTTCACGTCGGTTTTCTGTGAGGCCGTGGTATCACTCCGGTCGAAACCATAATTGCAGGGACAAGTTGTAACGTCGTGTCGTGGTGACATGCAACGATAACACGTCTCGCCTACTTCCAAATTGTACCAAAATTCTTATTCTCATCCTCATCTTTTTATATTTTACCTGAAATTCTCGTCTAGACTACAAATCCCTCACGCTACTGCATAGATCAAAAGTTTTTGAAGCACGCTTTTGCGAACGTGACCTATGTTACGCGGGATGATTAGTGCTAAGTATTACTTACAATATGAAGATTTATAGTACCTAACCAACAACTATAAGTCGAAGTCGTGAACATTTGTGCAACAAATGTCGCTATTAGGATAGTAGATGCAAATAACAATGTTTAAGTTAAAGATGTTTAATATCGTATCTTAACAAGGCTACTGGTTATGGGATGGTTTTTCTTAAAAACATTTCATAACTACATACCTTATACAGAAAGTGTTGCAATATCAGTGGCGTAATGCGGTGAGGTGCCTTGGTCGGGCCCCGTATGTATGTACATGTTTTTTTTTGGTTTGGGAGCCATCACAATTGTTTAATATATAGTAAATGTTCTCCTCAAGAAAAAAATGGAATTTGTAAAATCTGTTATTGGCCATTTCTTGAAGATTAATTTTGGAAGAGTAAGTACATCAAAATCTACAAAATCCATCTTTCAACACTCTCGGAAAACTTTCCGGACAACCCACATAATATCGGACTATGATGCATCACACTAAATAAAATAAATACCTAAAGATAAGAGTCTTTAGGACTTTCGTTGGGACCCATGACCTGGGGGCGGGGCCCCGTACAATTAATACGGCAGATACGGCGCTAGCTACGCCCCTGTACAAAATAGAAGTAGAGATAGTAATTTTGAAACCGGATACATGTGACTCAACGAATAGATTGCAAATATATGATTATTTTATTGGATCAAGTTATCGTAATAAGTCTTTTCGTATAGATTAGGGATGGTGTCTAACTTTAATAATAAATTTATTGAACATAATTTGCAGTTGCAGTTATTCTACTTACAATAGACTTCCATGAATGCTTCTGCTTGCGCAGAGTGGAACGAGGGAGCTTCCTCAGAAACTTCACATCGATATAATCCTCGGGATTTGAGGATCAGCTCTCGAAGATGGACGCGGCGAGCCGTCGACTTCTCTAACTAAAAAAAACGAGTCAATAGTTTATTAAAAACAATAAGTACTAATTCCCTCTTTATTTCTAACTAGCTTCTACCCGCGACTTCGTACGCGCATTCCTATTTTCCCCCGTCCCCGTTCGTGATTTTCGGTAAAAAGTAAAAAAAAAAATTTGGTCAAAAAGTATCCTATGTCCGTCTCCTGGTTCTAAGCTACCTCCCCACCAATTTTCAGCCAAATCTATTCTGTGGTTCTTGAGTTATAAGTGGTGTAACTAACACGACTTTCTTTTATATATTTCTAATAAGAAAGAAATAAGAATAAGGCTATACGAAATGGCTCTGTATTTTTAACGGTTAGCCGAAGTGCAATACGGGTAATTTGTCGCGGAGAACCTAACGGGTAACCGGGGCTCCAGCTCGACGTGCAGGAGAAGGAACGGGGTGGTTTTTAGTCAGTAAGAGTCTGATACTACCTCCCGCCTCACCCAGGCGGAAGCAGACATTCGATGATTTTCCCCCCTTAAAAAAAAACGGATAATTTCAATATATGTAGGTACCTACAAATATTTACATTAACCGATTACCTCAATACCAAAATTTAATGACTAATCTGATAAGAAGTTATCTTTCGTTTCTGTTTATAAAATCGCAGGATTTTGATGATTATATTAACTATCATTAAAAAACATCAGATTTTTTCCCTTATCTTTTTTATATAAGTCGGAACAGAATTAAGTATGAATTATTGGCACGACTTGAGCGGCAGTGAACTGGGACTTCCAGAAGAAACAAGATTTTTCAAAGAGTAAGTAAACCATATACTTATTTAAAATCCTCCAAAATTACATTTTTAAATACTACAAAAAATATATATTTAATAATATAAAAATAGTAGCCGACCAGTAGCGGGAGCATGGTTTAAAACTATTATTGAAATTTTATTATTATAATTTTAAAAGGTGAACGAAGGATAATATGATATTCTCTGGAGTTAAACATTAGGACGGAATTCCGGCGTTTTTGAGTAATCGCTGAACATAATAATTTATTATGTTGTTGCAGATGAGGAGCTTCATCATAATTTTGGTGCTGTCAGCACTCGCAGCCTGCCATGGCGCTGCTGTTTTACCGGATGAGTCGAACATGTTCTCGTCTTTCATTCGAGAGCAGATGTTAGATGGTTGGACCGTAGAGCATAATGAAGAAGATGCGGTCCAGAACAGAGTCACAATGAACAAAGGAGAAGCCAGAGACGACTTAATATTTTTATATGAGTGAGTATCTACTAAGTTTATGACTGATTCTCTTATATTTTCAATTGTTGTAAACTAAATTACAATGCTCAATCATAATGACAACACCTTAAGGATTTAAATAACATATTAAAATATTATGAAGCAACACTTCAAGATAATTTATTTATTTATTTATTTATTTATTTATATATGCTTTATTGTACACATTTATGTAGTTTAAAACAAACAATTAAAAAAAAATTCTTTAAACCCAATTCAAGTAAATATGCGTACAATGGGCGGTCTTATCACACAATGGTGATTTCTTCCAGACAACCTTTGGATGGAAATATTTGTAAGAAACCAGATAAGGGGTAGTTTACATTTATATAGTATAATGTTAGTCTTGTGAAAGTCATTGGGGGAGGTTTTTGTTCAGCACAGCAGCGTTTTAAAGTTTTTGAAACGTGACGTCACGAAGTTTCAGACCCCTCCCACCCCCTTGTCACACAGTCGGGGTCCACAAAGTGTGACAAGGCACACAATGTCACACTTTGTGGACCCCTCTCTCCCCTTAACATCTGACGTAATTTATGGATGGCCCCGTAGAATGGACTCCACTCAGTAGTCAGTTTCGCCCACCGCTTATCCGACATGTGGCAGACATGACAATTGCCGTGTTAGGAATTAATATCGTGAATATATTTTCAGGAGTCCATGCATCGTGCCAGCTTTACCGAACGACATTGTGACCTGCGAAGTGGTGTATCATGGTGAACCCAATGTCAGCATTAGGCGTTTCTCGGTTTCCTATTTCTGGCCACCACCTGCTCATATCGATGTTAGTGGATTTTTGAGTAATGTTGGTCGTGTAAAACTAACTTCACATATAGGTGAAAGACTTCAGGCAGTTATCGGAATATATGGTGTAATAAATGAGGATAACAATTAATCATAAGTTTTGAGATCATTATTTGTTATGACGACTTTAATCCAATGTTGCCTGCATTCCATTTTCCATTAATACTGGTCGTCGAAAAATATATATTTTTAGCTAAAAACTGTCTTTTTGTTTGTTTGCTTCGCCCGCGTTCCCAGAGTTAAAAAGTAGGTAGCCTATGTCTAATCTATCTATTCCTCCAGTCCATAATCTACCTGTTCCACATTTCTACCTGATCCCTTCAGCCGTTTTGTTATGACTGAGTAATAAAAGTACACACACAGACGCAAGCTCACAAACACACAAACACACAAATTTTCGCATATTTTAACTAATCTAACCTACCGAATATACAGCTACTGTATCAATCAACCTAAACAATGAACAAAGCGACTCAAAACGACGAAAAATAATAACTATTTTACATAATAATAATTATCTATTATATATTAAGCGAGTGAAAAAATCAATCCCAGTGATAGATGTTTACACCAAAATATAATTGTTTTGGAAGCTCGGAACCTTTACTTTCGCTGGTAAAGAAACCATAGCGCCATCTAACTCGATCCTAACGAGTCAAACGATCCATATATATCGAGTGTGAGAAACAACAGCGTACAATTTGTTGTTGTTTTGTTGTTTGTTGACGCTATGATTTTGTGTACCTTTAACAACCTAAAATCTACAAAATACACAATTTAATGTAAAATGATAGGAACCAAAATTTAAAAGCGAAAAATACTTAAAAACACAACGTTACCACGTTTTTAAAAACACCCAGCGCATTTATCGATAAGTAGCGTAACTACTATATATACCAATTAGTAATTCGTTGACTTATAAAACAGCAAATAAATGAATCGAAAAGTGCACCGAATAAGTGTAGGTAGCGCTATAGATTAAAGCGTGAGATTTTTAATTAGTAGGTAATTCGTTGACATCATGACATACAGCGCCATCTATACCAACACACATAGCGCCATCTATGCCAACATATTTATTTTCCCTCGGGAATGTCAATTTTTTCCGGGATAAAAAGTCTATTATTCAATCCGGACTTCTAACTTTACGTCTGCAAAATTTCAAAGAAATCGGTTTAGTATTAATAAGGATAACCTTACCAAATTTCATCGTAATCGGATCGTTATTTTTCTGTGATGCATGAAAACACAATCACATTTTTGGGTCTATCTGGTAACACCTCTACTATTTATTTTTTTTAATATTTTTTATGTACAGAATTAACACTTATGTACTAGTTAACATATAGATATACATATACAAGGTGTTGTTTTAAAGTCGCGTCATTTTATAGGAGGTAACTCGGCTATCGATTCTGAGTCCGAATCAATAAAAAAATCGTACTTAAATATTTTTCATTTTTCTGTAAATCACGGAAATCCGTAAGTGCGAACTACACGCCGCCGTCTTGTAACTAATTTTGTAACGCGGCTTAACACACACAAACTCAAACACGTAATTAATATTATTCCTGCTTCATAAAACTTCAATAAGAAACATTGCTGTCGCTTATTCTGAAGTACGATCGAACTTAAACGCATTATTATAGCCGTATTTTTAACTATTGGCCCGAAACTTTCTTTTACATTGAACCTTTATGACTTCTGTGACATGCCCCTGAGAAATGCCATGGTTTCAAAACTACACTTTGTATAATAATTATGACTTTTCACAATAACTGTAAATTAGGACAGAATGTTCTTATCTTTAAAGTTTTGCATACTATATCAAATCAAACTAACGAAATAATCGGGCATATTTTTTTTTGTAAATTTGCCTTTACCTCTTAAAAAAGGGGTTGAAATTTTATACAACACTATTCGCAGTTTCCAATGTAGAATACTAAAAATAGGTAGGTATATAGATTTTTGTTGACTTTGTTATCAACGGAAAATACCCACCAGTTGGAAATTGTGTGAGACTCTTCGCAAAATTAGTTACAATTAGTACACGTTCTATGATACAAACTAATCTACATACACTATTATTCTAAAGAGAAAAGATTCTGATAACATTATTACAGCCGTAGAATAATATATAGAGGTATATATAAATAGAATATATATAATATATAAAGACTAATGCAAAAACACTAATTCTGCCGGAAGTCATTATTCTACGCGGACGAAATCGCGTGCAACAACTAGTTATTAATAAAGGAATTATCAAAGTATAGCAATAGTTAATTAATTGCAATAACAACTTACATCAACTTTAACTCCGTCCAACTTATGTGCGTGTTGAGGAGGTCTCAACCGGGGCATGTATCGGTAGAACTCTTCATTGTCTCTGTACCATTTTACAGAGTACAGCTTACCCCCTTCCAGGTCGTAGTCACATGTTAGTGTGGACGACTCCCCACGTTGCTTCAGTGCTGGTACCGATATACCCACTATGCGGAGACATATACATACTGTTGATGAAAAAAAATATAATTATTGTCGATTTTTTGTGTGCACCTCTGCCTACCCCTTCGGGGATAAAAGGCGTGATGTTATGTTATGTTATGATTTTAGTAAAAAATGTAGATGAGTGTGCGTTCCATGTATCGTAGGCAGCATCCCCGTTTATCTTCAGGCTAGAGGTTGGCTACATGTCGAACCATAATCAATACCTACAAAACAAAAGTAAAAAAATATACAAATAGGTGCTAACTATATAGTGAAAAATTTTAGTCACTAAAAATAATGAATAAAAATGTTCGTGGAATTATAAATAATTTAAAATAAACATATTTAAACAGTTTAAAGAATACTTAATTATATGACAATAGGCTCACATAGGCTCATGCATATCATGAACCTGAATAACCTGGTATTAAACTGTCAAACACCAAGCGGTCACCGGTGACCGTAACCTATTGTTCTATAATTGTGTCTGCAAAACCGGTACTCGACGAGTTAAAATAATACAATACCAGTGTACACTAGTGAACAAAAGACGGAGCCACTAGCGTCTTTAGCATTTTATCGAACTCTTTATCTTTTACAACTAAATGCTCTCATTTTCAAGGTTTATTTTTTAAAGGTTAAATTGCCTTCTATACGACATATTATGTTTTTTTTAATGTTACATATTAATTCTCCACCGACACTTGGTCCGTACCCTTGTCATACATTTTTTTACAATACGTCTAATCAATTTTTATAAAGTACCTAGTTACACAATACAATTAACCACATCTATAATTATTACTACAAGAATAAATTACATAATTACTCAATTGTGTGTATCATCAGTGTTTTATTAATTGAGTGTGTGTCAGTGTTTTATTAACAAAACAATAGTGTTATTAGAGAAAGGTGTGGATGAAAGATGATGTAGTGACAAGGATTCAAATGGGAATGTTACGCTGGTTTGGACATGCAGAAAGGATGGATGAAACTAGAGTAACGAAAGAAGTATACAGAGCGGATATGAATGGGGCCATCGGTAGAAGGCGCCCTAGACAGACATATAGTGACCAGATTGGCGATATATTAAAGAAGGGCCAAATTAGAAGTACTCTTAACCAACGAGAACCAAAAACGATACTTTTCTATGAATTGTAATTGTATTGGTTTGTAACTTATAACATCATCATATTACTGCGTCAAATAGCATACTTATTTCCTTAAAATTAGCGAGAAAAAATACAAAAGTAGGTAAATTGTCAAATCAATGGATGAGGCTATGATTATTTTTGAAATATTGCATTGAAAAGTTGAAACAATTTATTTTAAACCTAGGAAACTAGCCAATTTGCGATTTATATTCTGCCTACCCCAATGGGAAGGCGTGAAGTTATGTATATATGTACAATTGTACATATGTTAATATTACACCTGTATAAAAAATGTCAAGAAATGAATAACGCTCGTGACTTCGTTTCTTGGCTCCTATTTTAGACTAACGATTTATTTTTTTAACTGGAGGCGTATAGAGGTAGACGTGCTCGACTTTATTCAAGTGCCACATGAATATAATGTTTGTTACCGAGAGACCGAACATCTAAATGAATGGTAGGTATTGAATGAAATGTTCAATTCTTCAATTGTTTGGGAATGAGTGAATGAAGGATTTGATTATAACCTACAGCAGTTGATAGGTGGTCATATTAATTTGAATTTTGATTCTAATTGTTGTGTGTTGTTAAAATAATTTACGTACTCAATTTATTTTTGGTCATATGTTAACTGTCTAAACGTAATGTATTTATGTCAACGAGGGGTGCACGAGTGTACATACTATGGACATTTTATATCGTATAATTAATTTGTATTGTAAAGGAATACAATATTCATAATAATATGTTCATGATCACTGTCTAATATTATTTGAAAAATTAATACACGATCATAATTTTGTGTACAATTACAGTCAGATTCGCTAATTCATGTGTTTTCAAAAGTTGTACTATTATTTTATATGTCCTGCAATTATCATATTATATACAAAACTTCAGGCAAAAAATATTTCACTTACCTTTTACATAATAAAATATTAAATAACAGAACACAGTAAAAGTTCCCATTTTCACTTAAATATCACAATTAACACTGTATTTCTTCATTACCAAAACTTTAGTGAGATATCAAAAGCTTTCTCATTTCTCATATGAAGTAATTTTAACTGGAATCCAAACTAGGTCACATTGTTATTCCCAACTTTCGACGCTACGTAAAATTTGATATTCCGTCGAGTGCGCCCGTTTCGTAGCTCGTAGCGAATGCAACTGTTGCTACGCCGCGTAGATCGCTGCGAGACGGCTCGTAGCGCTACGGTCGTAGCACACACGAAATTATTTAAGCCGGGTACTTTCTGCAAAACAATTTATGTGCGCTAAAACTTTAGTGTCATAATGAAGCTGTATAGAAAAAGATATATTTAAATTCGATATTTTTATTTGGAAATCACATTTGTTTTGCTTTTTAAGTACGTTTTTAGAATATTTCTTGCACGCTTCTTGTGTTGATGAAAATTTTAATTCATCTAGTTTTAAGGTATAAATTATATGTCAGTACTTAAATCAGCATAAATGTATTATTCTACGAGTAGAGATTTTGCAAACAGAGATTGTGTAAGTTTTGCATGGCAGAGCTACTCAAAAAACCCCAAGAAT